GGACGAGAACCGGCGACCTTCTTCTTGGTGCTAACCAGCTGCTCCACCTTGCAGCAGATTAGCAACCTTCACTGTGAAATGAGAACCCAGAGTAGATCAGAAAGCAGCATAATATAAGTTGTGAAACTCATCCAGAGCTTTTGGGTTCCGTGTACCACCCCAGGCTCTTCAGTGGCCCCACCTGGCCAGCCCTATGAAACATTTCAGGAGCTCTCACTGTCATTTAATAGCTTGTTGTAGCACTTTTACAAACATCTTGTGGTGAGGGAGATGCTGGGGACAGGCCCACTCCTACCACTGACTAGAAGTGACAGAGGTGCTTCCACTTCCACTCACTCCTGCAGCCTCTGGATTATTTCTTTCATTACTGGCTGTGTTGCTTTGATTCATAAAATCTGGCTCCCATTTCTCCATATCCTGCTCCAGTGAGCAAGGTGCAAACATATCAATATTCTCACGGAGGGAAATATTGCGGCTCTTATCCACGGTGGCACCAGTCGGCACCAGCTCACATTTTATATTAACGGCCTGCAGCTCCAACATGAGTAATTTTGAAAAACGTGCTTAGGGCAGCTGTTTTAATTCAGAAATATTTACAGTGTAATACAGCTCTGAATGGAAGAAGCAGGATTGATCGGTGCCTCCGTTCATTCACACTCTCAACCGCCCCCGTTCCATCAAAGTGGCGTGACCTATAGCAGCAGCAGCACAGCTCGCAGCGCACACCAGCATATAAATAGAGGAGAGGAAGCACCTCCAGCAATCACCCTGAACCTGGAGGAGTCTCTGCAGGACGCCAGGCTCACAGCACTCTGACACCATGAAGGTAGGAACAATGCACTGAAACTTACTTCACTAGGTGGAAATCATGTGCAGGAAACTTCTTCTTCTTCTTTATTTAAATCTGATGTTACCTCCTGTTAAGGGGCAGCATCAAGATTGTTCTGACACTTGCATTTAGGAAGATAGATTGCAAAAATGTTCTTTGGAGATGTCGAGGAAATGCTTGCAGGGTTGCCTTAAAACTTTTTAAGGGATATAATGCATCACATGACTAAACTATTTTCCCTCAATGTGGTTCACACATGAAGTCTTTGTGATGTTATGGCACTTGGTTTTAGAGTACCTGAATGAATTAAAGGCCTGTTCACGACTCTTAAAGCACTCATCCTGTGTGCAGATTCACATGTGGCTGCGTTCCGGTCTAACCTTGTGTCTGCCTCCTGCAGGCTCTGAGGACCATCACACTCACTTATGTTCTCACCCTTCTGCTGTTGACAACGTTCATCTCGCAGTCGTGGAGTGCACCCAAGGTACAAGGAACTAGCATCCTCACCCAGCAGCTGAGGAGCTTGTTTAATCATTTGAAGATGACAGAGTTACCCGAAAAATTCAGAACATACCGTGTGTGCAGGTTTAAGTTAAACCGAAGGCTGTTCTTTGTTTCTCATTAAAGAGCTCCTATCAGCGGAGGAACTGGACCCCGCAGGCGATGCTGTACCTGAAGGGCACACGTATGTACATATGTTGGCCTACATGTCCGCATGGAAACCCAAGGTTCAGTATGAAATGAACAGATTATAGACAGCTGTCTGCTTTATGTCCTGGTGCCAGTTTTCATCTGAAAAATTATTAT